GTTCAAAAAACCTAAAAACTCAAAAAAGTTCAAAAAACCTAAAAACTCAAAAAAGTTTAAAAAACGTAAAAAAGTTTAAAAAAATTAAAAAAACCCTAGAAACTAGAAAAAATCTAAAAAGCTCAAAAAACCTAGAAAAACTCAAAAAAGTTGTAACACTCTGAAAAGGTTAAAAATTTAAAAAATTTTTTTATCGTACTGGATATTCATCTAATCTAATAGAGAAATTTATTCTGATTTAGACTAGCCTCATAGTAGATATTGAAAAAAAATTTTTATGGTACTGAATATTCTTGTAATTGAATTTGGAAATGTATTTTAATTGAAATCAACTGGGTAAAAAAATATTGAAAAAAGTTCATTCTTGTGGTGAATATAGGTCTAATTCAATCTAGAAATATGTATTTTAAATAAAAGAAACTGAGTGTGAAATATTCAAAAATGTTTTTTTCGGTTATTAAAACTGATTCAACTCGATATGGATATTGGTTTCGAATAAAACTAACTTAATCCAAAATGTTGAGAAAGGTTTTTTGTATTATAATTAGAGTTTATTCGTTTACAGTGTGAGATGAGGTTTCAATACAATTAACTAAATATGAAATAATGTAGTAAAAATTTGTGGTGACGAGTATCGTTTGAATTTCAATCAGATATGGATTCTAAATAGAAGTAATTTGATTGAGAATGTTGAAAAGATATGTTTCTTTTTCGTAATTAAGATTTATTGAATTCTAGTTGTATATGGGTTTTAAATAAAAGCGAGTTGATTCAGAGTATCGGAAAAAGTTTTTATCACGATTGAAAATCATTCAATTTGATTTTGGTATGGATCTCGATGTGAGATGAGTGTTCTAAAGATTGACATAAGTTATTGTATGGAAATTAAAATCACTCGTTGCCGTTTGGATATGGATGTCGAATTAAATTAAGTGAATTAGCAACATTCAAAAGGATTTTTTAATAATGGAATTCGTTGAATCTCATTTGTATGTTGGTTTTAAATACAATTTGCTGCATTCGAAATATTGAATCAGCGTCTTTTTTCTTTGTAGAAAATTTATGCTGTTTAACTTATAAATGGGTGTGTTAAAAATTGGGATACTTATCGAAACGAGATCTCAATTTAGTTTAGGTTTTAGTAAACTTATTCTGCATTTCCTCTTTTTACTTATACTTGACGTTTAGCTTACTGTATCCTTGCGACATTGTGGAGTGGGTTTTCTTCAGCTGTGAAGCGACCGATATTTTTCTGTTTCATACTGAGTGAAAAACATCAAATGTGTGCGTTGGTTATGCGTAGGCTACTATCGCCCTCCCCCGGACGTTTAATGTGGGCAAGAAAGTTGTTTTCTATGCAGTTTTCGACGATTCCGTTAGGTCGGGATAACATAGATCAATGAGATGAGTTTTGGCTACTTGTTTTCTACGTTTCGAGATGTTTGCAGCTTTTCTGAAAACCTGCTTTAACTGTCGAACAACGGATGTATTGTCGTGAAGTTTTCTTTAGGCGCTTGGAATATTTTAGTATTTACACTTTCTTCTTTATTTGAAAGGCTTTACTTATATTCCTCCTATGCTCATGACATGACAATTTTTAAGAAGATTTTGACTTTTGATAGTTCCATATTTGTGCAATTCTGAAACCCAATGACTGTTCTCGGCCCCCGTTGAAACTTTTGCATTTCATTCTTTCATTTTGAACTTTTTTTATTTCTTTTTTGAACGCTTTTGTGGTTTTATGAAGCCTTTAGGGTTTTTGAGTTTTTTAGACACTTTTAATTTTTTTAGAATTTTTTGGGTTTTTTAGAATTTTTTGAACTTTTTTAGATTTTTTAAACTTTTTTGAGTTTTTTAAAATTTTTTGAGTTTTTTAGACTTTTTTCGATTTTTTAGAATTTTTTGAACTTTTTTAGATTTTTTAAACTTTTTTGAGTTTTTTAAAATTTTTTGAGTTTTTTAGACTTTTTGAACTTTTTTAGGTTTTCGAACTTTTTTACGATTTTATGTTTTTGGGATTTTTTTGGGTTTTGGGTAAAACATGGACTATGATTTGATGAGGAAAATATGGATAGCTAAGTGAGCTCCAAATGTGGAGTTTACGTGTGGCGTTTACTTCACTGAACCTTTAAATTCACAAGATATATAACCTATTAAACAATTGTTTCATTACTGACATCAAGTTATACAAAAAATATTTGATCTTGTACAGAAGTATTCTTTTTAACTAGCTTTTTTTTTAATTTTATTCATTGTACTTTTATTTAAATTATCAGAACGAGATAAACTTCATGATTATAGTAGATTTTAGTAATATATTTTTCCATAAATCCTGCATGACTTACTTGAAATACAACTTGATGTGCAAGTAAATATCTTCAATTGCCTACGTTTACCAACATACTCTATTCAAGAATTAGCTATATATTATAAATCATTTATTTAATTGATAAATAACATATGCATGAACAATATCTGCCCGAAAGAATATATATTTTGTATTTTTTTCAAGAAAAATAATATTGTTTTAACTGAAAGAAAGTTATAGTTGATGTACAAATATGATGTTATCAAATGGAACGAGTTATACTTTATTTTTCAAAAATTGATTAGTCCTTAATGAATTTCGAAACTAATACATAATTTCCTGTTCCAATATTCTTTTGAACGATTGTATTTAATACTCATAGTCCCACCTTCCAAAATAATGCTGTCATAATTATGATAATCAATTTACTTGGTAACTAATATGAATCAATAACTACTGCATTGTTACTTTTTGATATTAACTAACATTTTTACTGTAAAATATGTGATTCAATCTGTTTATTAATATTTTGTAATATAACCTTGATATCAGTCCGACTGATTCCATAAATCAATGAGATGAAACGTATTAGTATTTATTCGGTTCAATTCCTATTTTAAAATTGAATTGTTAGCGTAAAATAAAAAAACAGTGATGAACATATTTCATAAAGTTTATAAATATCTTGTTGAGCTATCACGATCTTCGGCTACTCATTTTTATAAAATAACGGATAACTTTAATGAGGAATTTTGTTATGTACATTGTTTTCTTTTCCTATCTATGAAAAAGTAGAAATTTTCTTGTTGATACCAAAAGTGATATTTAACAAAGGTGCTCACTAACGTTCTTCGTATGAATTTGAAATGGAAATATACTTCAATCCTTGATAAAAAATGAGCCTTATTTTGTCAAGCCACAAGCGCTATGCGGTTTCTTTTGAAGAAAGTGACTTTTTGATCATTCTGTAGATTATAAGTAAATTAAATCAATTAACATTGATTATCTATTATCAGTAAGAATATATCCGATTGATTTCATTAATAAATATAAATAGAATACGATCTATTCAGTGAAATTATAGAAGAAAATTTATAGATAGTCATATTTACATGCATAAAAATGATTAACTGAATACATTAGAAATATATCGATACAATTTATTGTTATTTAACATTCAATTTGTAAAAATTTACAATATACACAACCACACCGTATAATTGATGATAACTAAAAGTGTAATAAAAATATCAAATCGGATACTTTTTTTTCTATTAAAAACTTCTGTTTTGTGAGGAAAACATAATTTGCCAACGACTAAAGACTTCACAATTGTTTGTGAGAGATGAATAAAAATCTGAAAACATATAGTAATTATTCAGATAATTAAATAACCTCTAATGATGTTTGTTATGTCTTTTTCGTAAATATAGAAACTAGATTTCTTTTTAGTGCAGATAAAAAGCTCGATATAACTCCCACAAGTAATACCAAAAATCTACAAGTCAACAATTTATTAATAAAATAACATGTTGTGTAATTATTAAAAAAAGATGATGTAAATAATAATAGTGATATGTTTGTGAATAAATTTTTTATTGAGAACCTTCAGATCTACCAGGCACACCATATTGACCGCCACTAGGTCCGCTATGTGGTCCAGCGGGTCTACCATGAGGTACGCCACCGGGCATATTAGGTTGACCACCGCCATATATAACGGGTGCGCTTGGTCTACCATATCCACCAGGTGCACCATATGCTCCGGGAGGTGCGCCATATGCTCCAGGAGGTGCACCATATGATCCGGGAGGTGCGCCATATGCTCCAGGAGGTGCACCATATGTTCCGGGAGGTGCGCCATATCCTGCAGGAGGTGCGCCATATGGTCCAGGGGGTGCGCCATACGCTCCGGGAGGTGCACCATATGGTCCAGGAGGTGCACCATACGCTCCGGGGGGTGCACCATATGGCCCATGTGCACCATATGGTCCTGGTGGTGCATTATATGGTCCTGGTGGTGCATTATATGGTCCTGGTGGTGCATTATATGATCCTGGTGGTGCACCATATGGCCCTGGTGGTGTACCATACGGTCCTGGTGGTGCACCATATGATCCAGTACCTGGTGCATTATGTTGGCCACCATATACCCCGGGTCCAACTTGTGGCGCATTATGTTGACCGCTATATCCAGCGGGCGTACTGTGTTGACCAGCGTTATATCCGGTGGGTGCGTTGTGTTGTTCACCACCCGGTGCATTCTGCTGAGCACCGCCATGTCCTGCATGATGGCTGCCACGATTTCCGCTTGATCCATGATGATGATGACTACCGCTATGCCCCTCATGTTTACCGTGTTGACTACTATGAGCACTTCCCTGGCTCTTGTGCGAACAAGCAGAACCTCCTCCTTCTTTATGAAGAGAAGCAGGGCCTTTTGATTTATCATTTTCTTTCACAACGCTGCCTGGGCCGCTACCAAGTCCTCCTTAAAAGAAAATCAAACAAGGATTTTCTCAGAATCATTCACATTGAAGCTACATATGTTAAAGTTAGGAGTAATGTTTCATAATTAAAAATCTCATTCAATACTGACAGTATTCGAAGCTATAGTTTGTCTATGAAACTTTATAAGTATTTAGGTAGACAAATATACTTGTATATTGTTTTACATGATCATAATATTAACTATTGAAGATTTTCTTCGTCAGTAATAGAAATAAATTATCATAAGTGAGATAAAAACTGATATCGACGACATCACTTTAATTTGTATGGGATTTACCTGAATGCTGATGATGATGGTTATGTTGCTTATGATGATGATGTTGATGACCAGACATTTTAAAAAATTGATAATTTATTGGCTGAAGTTTGGCAGACTATTCAATCCTCAACAACATACATATATATATTTTTATGTTTGTCCTTGAGTGTCGTTTGGAAAGAATATTTGTGCTTATTATAATGTGCGTATAAAGAAATTTTCTTTCTCTTACAATAGAATTAAATACAAAGAATATTAGCAGTATATTTTTGTGCCTTTTTAGCATTTGTTTCGTTTGTTTCTTCTAACGACACTGTTGTTGTCGTTTGCTTGCATTAAGTGTAGACAAAGCATTTTATATTGTTATTGCACGTTTTTTAGCTTTCAATAAATATTTAACAGATTTACCTATTATGTTGGTCAAAACAGTGTTGTCTTTCATCGAACGGCATTGTTTTTCACCAAGAGAAAATCGACTGAAGACACACTTTTAAATGTTAAAATGTGCGTTTAAAAGAGAATTACCTTTTGAAAACAAAACGATTTAATGATGAAACGCTTACAAATTGTATTCTCTCAAAGTCATTACGCGGTTTTAATTAATTTTAGCATATGTAAGACAAATAAACTGTTCTGTGTTATACTGACAAAATTCACTAAAAGTTTATTGTTCCTATCAAATCAATAGTCATCATTAATTATTAGTTAGATAAATATATGAATTTTTTTAATGTATCTCAATACATTTTTCAAATAGTAGGCGATAAATATGATAATTACCGAAGCATACTGTCTTTTTTTAGTTAGATAAGCAACGTTATAGTCTTGAGAATATATTATAAATTTCAAACTGAATATTTCATATTTATGATCACTTAATGACATCTGACACCGTTATGACAAAATTCTGTGATATATTTTTTATGAATTTCTGTATATATATATATCTATATTCGACATATTATGAATTATTTCGTGAATTTAAGAGTAGAAAATTTCTCAATGTACCATCAATCATTCAAAACATAAGTTCATAACATACAAGATTATCACGAATGCATTCTTATGTGACAGTAATAGTCTGTACGATCCATTCAAATTTTTTATTATAAAAATCTTTATTAATAGATGTAGTTTTATTAATTTTTACATAGTATTTTCAGTGTAGGAATATCTACTGTAGCTGAGTTGATTAATAAGTTATAAATGATGAAAAAGAGAAAGAACAACGATAAGATAAAATATATATATAAATAATACTCTTAGTCAAGTGAATCTGAATTGTAACAGTTCATCACGATTTACATTGCATAAAATGATCTAGTTTTAGATCGAACAAATCAAATTTAAATTTTTGATTAATTTTGATAGTGTACAAATTTTTGTGAGCACACAGTATAAGTTTAAGGAATGAAGAGTACAAAAATCTATTTTTTGTTTGATTACTATATATATATTTTAATTAATAAAAAATATTTAAAAAAAATACTTGTTTATGTTTGACGTAATCGATGTATCATAGGAATGTAGTAGGGTGTTATTTTTCGATTATTTCTGTTACATAATATCACTGATAAGACTTCGTGTCGAAATTCACTGAATGTAATCATATAAAGTGGAAATGATAATATGTGATATGTAAAGAGCATCGAGTCCAGTATTATTAGAAGAGTATAATTTGCTGTATTTCCGAAAAATGCAAAACCTACGGTAGCTGGTATAGTCATAATCAAAAAGAGAAATGTTGTAATAACAACTGTAATTGATATAGTTCGATGATGGATACTTGAATTTTGAAGTATTGTCGTGCGACGTAGACGAATCAAACGATAGATAACACCACCATTGAATATAAACATCAGTAGAAACGGTAAACAATTGTACATGACTAAATTAACAAAATCCCATGTAGGAGAAATAATATAGAAACCAGAATTAGCATGTAATGATCCGTCTATGTCATAAGAACAAGCAAATATAATAATGTGAACGTTGAATAAAATAAAGAAAATGATAACACATGTAATAGTAATGAGAACATATTTAGAACGACTAAACCATGTTCGATGAAGATGAGTCAATGATAGGTATCGATCAAAACAGATGAATACACGTAGCCAAGCCGATGTTTGAGGAGTAAAATAATTAAGAAAATAAGAAAACTTACATGAAATAATCGTGTACGTATTTAGTTGAAAACCATGTATACTCAACGTATAATGATCTAAATTCCATCCATACAACATGAGCATATCAAAAATAACAACTGTACGCATATAATATAATATTGGTCGTTCTCTTACGTTTCGAAATTTTGATCGACACAGAACGATAAATGTTAGTAGATTGAGTATAGTGCCTACAATAATTAGACATAAACTATAATATGCAACCGCATTTGTCAAGATGCTCGATTTTTTAGAATACACTACTGTACTGTTCGACATAATATGATAGATTGACTTTCACATTTTCAGGAATGCATTAGTGCTGGTATTTGATGGAAGTTCTTGTCCAATTATAACTACAATAAATGAATAGTCTTAATACTAATCTCAGAATAAGTGTCGGAATACTTTTTTATTTAATTAGATAAATAATTATTAGAAAAAGATCAAGATTAGTCAAAGAATTTAATTTATAGTAAAATTTACCTCAATTATAATCAACAATTGTTAAGTACACGACCGAACGATCAGGAAAGAAGAGGAATGTTAGTTGAATGACAGTTTACATAGAAACATACAGACATATTTCTGTACGATGAAGAAAATTTGTAATAAATTACAATCTACTACATACATAGACAGACGTTTTCTTGTAAAATCAAGAGGAAGAAAAAATCACGTTTTTACTAATTTATAATTCAGCTCGATTAATAAATTCTATAAAATGAACAACAAAAGAATCACATTTTTACCAAAAATGGAAAACATCATAGCTACGCATCGACTCGTTTATATCCTCATCGAGTTACTGCGAGGTATTTGTCGTTCTATTTTTGTGATCTGCATAAGGTAAAAGTGTATTACGCATATATAGTAATAAATAGAATGAACAAAGTCAATTTTTTAAGACATGAATGACGTGCTATTATGATAGAACAACAAAAGTGATTGGTGAAAGGTTAATAATTGAGCAAGTGTAATTTATCTCATCCCTTCTGTATTGTAATTTATCATTCTAAAATACAAAAATGTCCTGAGCAAAGTAACAAAGTAGAACAAGAAGTTGTAACCAATCTCAGTTGTCAAATATTTCAATTTACTTTACAGATCGAATTCTTCTTTTATTGATTTGTGGATTAGATTTCACAATACTCGAGTAAATTCAGTCCACATTGAACAGAATCCTACTAGAAGTTATAGAAACTCAAATTAGAATCGATAATAACAAACCAATAATTAATATGCCGACAACTTTTAAGAAAATAAATTGATTGAGATTATCCAAATCGAATAAGACACAGTTAAGTAAAATAGCAAATCATTCTTGCTAACACATAGGATAGAACGATTTGATCTAGCAATTTTAATCGGAGTGCTAGGTGTAGCAGGGTAATCAAAGAACAAAAACTTACTCACACTCATGAAAGTTAACTTGAAATAATAAAAAGTATCATTTTATTCTATTAATATTTGCAATTTATTGTTGTTTTAATTAAAAAAAAATATCCTTAACATACTTAGATAGAATGTCAAAATACCTGTCGGTACTTCTACATATATGTACCTTAACCTTTGTAAGATTAATGCAGGATTCAATAAATTTTAAAAGCAATTCTGTTTGTACTACAAAATATATTAGAGATGGGAAAAATGACAGTTATTAATTTACAGAATTATTTTTATAAATTCAGAAAATACTAAGACAGAACAAAAAACGAACTGTTATCATTGTTGTCACTCACCTTAGTTAAATATTGACTTTTATGTTCTTTTTATATACATTAATCAGACAAAAACGATACAGAGTCATTGTGTTTTTGTTTCGTTCTATTATAAATAAGAGCCATGTGGTCTACTCTATTTATGATTAGTATATTATTATATATTGCTTATCGTTTTTTAAAGTATTGGATATTAGATCCATGGTATATTCACAAAGATTTATGGGCACAAGGTATTCCAGGACAATATACACCTGTAGTAGGTGAGATACTTAATGTACGTCGTGCTGTTCTTGCTGATGATCCTCTATCTTTTATGATTGAAATGGGAAAGAAATATGGCAGTTACTATCATACATCATTTGGTCCAGTACCTCGCCTTTGTACGAGTGATCCATCCTTAATTCAAGGTGTATTAAAAACGAATGCTCGTTTTTATCGTAAATCTAATTTGATGCGATTAATTCTGGGAACATTATTAGGTTATGATAATCTCTTATTGGCTGAGGATAATATTCATAGTCAGCATCGCCGTCTTATTGCACCTGTTTTTCAACATCAAAATATAAATTCAATGATTTCACTTATGGTTGAATTAACATCGAATCTACTTAAGAAATGGAAACTGACTCTTCACGATATAGAAAATAAAGAAAAAGAATTAACTATTGATATGCAGAATGAAATGACACATTTAACATTAGATATTGTAACTGGTTGTGTCTTTGGAAATGGATTAATGAAAAATGAAAATGTTCGTGAAATAATTTATAGAAATGTAACAACAACATTAGAAGATGTTCAAAACAGAACATTGAATATGATTGGTCTTATTCCGATCATAAATCGTTTACCTTTTCCAAGTAAACAACGTATCGATAAATCAAAACACGATGTTAGAATAGTTATACAACGTATTATTGATGATAGAAAAAAAAATTTAACAGCATCTTCTTGTAAAGGTTAAAATAAATTTTTAAATTAGTTACGAAAAATAATTCTATTTTATCTGTATTTTCTTCTATAAATGGAGAAAAATACAGATAAAGTAGAGTCATTTTCTTTACAAAAATATATATGATAGTTTTACATTATTAAAATACTCTTTTTTATATCTAGGACCTGATCTACTTGATTTAATCTTAGCAGCACGTGGTGATGATAAAATCAGTAAACTTACGGATGAAGAAATTTATGAAGAAGCACTTACTTTCGGTAGATAATATATTTATTTTCGTTGATTTTCATAGAATAGTATTTATTTAGTTCTTGCTGGCCATGAGACAACATCAAATTTAATGATTTGGATATTATATAATTTAGCAAATAATCCTGATGTTTGTCAACGATTAGAAGTCGAAGTTGATTCAGTCTTAAATGATAATGAAGAAATAACAGCATCTACACTTTCACTTTTAACATATACAGAAGCTGTTCTAAAAGAATCTTTACGACTTCATCAACCTGTACCAACAATTGTTCGACAAGCAGTTGAAGATAATATGTTAATAGCTAGTGATGGAAAACAAATTCATATAAAAAAAGGTACTGATATCCAGGTGAATTTTTTTCTGCTTCATCAGTAAGTAAAGAAGCATTTTTTTCTTATTTTATTTTATAATAATAAATAGTTCAGAAAAATATTGGCACGAGCCATTTAAATTTGATCCATCAAGATTTAATGAACGTCATGTAGATACATATTTACCATTTTCTGCTGGACCTCGTTCATGTATTGGACAAAATTTTGCAATGTTAGAAGCAAAAGTTATGTTAGCAATGATGATAAAACAATTTCGTTTTCAACTTGTACCTGGTCAAAAACATGTCCCAGAAATTCTTATTACAATGAGGTAATAATAATTTCAATAAAAAAACATTTTTTTTCTAAATTATTTATTCTAGGCCAGAATATGGAATGTGGATGAAATTGTCATCACGATAATATTTTTTTTCTTCTAATGTGATATAATAAAAATTTGACAAATGTGTAAAAAAATCAATATAATGATGCATAATGTTTTTTTCCATATCATTATGATTTATTATTCATATTTGTAATTATGTCAAGTCTATGACGAATATACATTTAAAGTAATGATGTATATGACTCGAAGGCAGGAAGTTGTTTTTTCTAAGTAGTATATTACGTTTTTGTTTTTCGATGACGTATGGCGGCGATATCTAGTGACACTAAATGTAGATCGTTCAACTGGTTAAGAAAGAAATTTGAAAAATAAGAACGAACGAAACAAATGTAGTTGTTTAACGTTTTATCAAAAAAGACAAGAAAAGAAAATGAATGAATCGTTATTATCATCATCTGGTGATTCTCTTGAATTATCAATTAAAGAAAATACTAATGATATATTGGATTCTTATTCAATATTATTCGATAAAGCTAAACATAATTTTTCGACAAGTTCAGAAGTTTCATTTAACAAACATGAACATTCAATAATTGATCACAATCAAATTGATACTAAAGAAATATCAACAACCATTAATAATGTACCAACAGAAAAACCTATAAACTTCAATCCTTTCCTTTTATTCTTCACAGAAAATGATGAACAAGAATCAGTAAGTTTTGGAAACATTCTATCTTTTATCTTAAATTAAACTTTTTGAGAATATAAAAATAAAAAATGCATTCATTTATTCTTCTTTCAATTGTAAAACAGTAAAGACAAAAATCTATGTGCAAATGTTCAATGAAGTACTCTTGATAAATATTCAAAATTTAATTTTTGTAGAATCCAGTAGAATTAAATGCTTTATTATCAATGAAAACCATCTCTACTAATAGATCGACTGATTCATTTGATGAAACAGGTAAATATATTAATAATGGAGTATACATAATAGAATATAATAATTTCAATATTCTTATTCAGTGACACGATGTGTAAGTCCACAACGAGACTCATTAAGAACGAAAATAGTAACTAAATGTGAACAAAATCATTCAAAAAAGTAAGACATAATTATCGTTAAAATTTCTCTTTTTCTCTTTCTGTCTCTCGATTGGACATAAGTTCGTTTTGCACTCGCTTTTCTCGATGAATATTGTCTCTCTATGCCCGATCTCTCTCTCTCTCTCTCTTTCTCTATTCACATGACACAATTTCCCTTCTTTTTTTTCGTCGTCTTTTTTTCCTCGCTCTTCGTCTCCATTTGTTACTGCTCTATACCCATATATATATACATAGTAGCTGTGTATGTGAACTGGTCTAGTCAGTGCATTTTTGATTATTTCTTATTCTGTTCACATCGTCGTCGGACAAGAACATTTTCTCCAGCTGATTTTGATGAAAATGATTTTGTAATTCAGTCATGTTGAAACATATTGGTCATTCACATCACGCAAAACTTCATACATTCGATGATTTCTATCGAGATGATTCCAAACCAATAAAAACACGTTCAACATCAACAGATTCTATTTCAACAAGTAATTCATCACCAACATCTCCATCATCACCAAATAGCAATCCATATACATTTTATAATATATTTTCTGAGTTTAAATCTACAATAACACCTGATGTTGTTCTAGAAGAAGATGAAACTGAACAAAATGATGAAATTATACCTCAAGAATTAACTCCAGTACCAACAGCTGTATTTTATCTAGAAGATGATCATCATAATCATCATCAAGCAACCTCACCATCATCTACATCACCTCATTGGCCATCTTTAATTCTGAATCGTTTCCGACATACAAATAATCACTATCATCCTCGTGGAATAACTAAACAAAATTCAATAAATGAAAATCAAATGAGTTTAACAAAATTACGTAAAAGTGATTTAACTGATTCATCAATAAGTAAACATCGTTTTCTTAAACGTTCAGAAACAATAAATACTGCAAATGGTTTAACAGATAAAAAATCTTCAAGTGATGATTTTCCTGAATTATCATTATCAACAAATAATAATATGGTTAAAAAACATCGTTCATTTGTTTCATTATTACATCATTTTCATCATCATCATCATCATAGTAATAATCGTGAACATCATCAAAATTTATCAAAAAAAAATCCAAATCGATCAAATTCAACAGGAACTCTTAATATAGAAAAGGTGATTTCAAATACCAGTAATGAAATTTCACGTCCAAAACTCATGAGACAAAAAACTGTACCTTCAAATAGTGAAAATCATTCACCGGTGAAAAGTACTCCTTCAACACCAATATTACCAAAAATTGCCTCTCTATTTCATCGCCATCATTTATCTGAACAACATAAATATCGTATAGGCAATTTAAAAGCTCGTCTTCATCATCGAAGAAATTCACCACCATTAACAAATACAGCACCTAAATTTCAATGTCAAGCATCCAATGAACTTATTCAAGAAATTAAACAATTAGAAGAACAAGAATATACGAATCCTGATTATATTCGTTGTCAACGTCCTGTTAAACCGGTGGTTATGAAGCGTGTACATACATGGCATAATTCATTTAATTTACAACCAGTTGATCAGTGCCTGGAATATTAACTTCATTTCATTTTTTCTTTTTTTTCCTTTCTTTATATGTCTTGTGCATGTATTTCAATTCAATAATATAAATATATGATTCTTTTTCTTTCTATTAGAATTTCTTTCATCAATAATCGTCGAACAACTCATAATAATAGTAGTGATGATGATCAAGCATTTGAAAAATGTAATTTTAGTATTACTACTAAAGTTAAATGAGAACAAAGAGGATGCACGAATTTTATTTCAAAAATTGATTGAGTTCTGTTATATTCTAATATAGATTTAGACATTCGTGCATTCTGATTATTCTCATTTAATTCTAAAGTTTATCGAAATATTTTGGAAGTATTTCATTTTATATAATAGTTTTACAAGAACATCGAACTGTAAAGACAATTAAATGTGAAGAAAAACCATCGACTGAACCAAAAAGAAAAAAACGAAATAGGTGCTGATTGACTTTTTTTGCTGTAGTTTTGGTTTTAAATACATATATATTGTCTAAATTATAGTATACAGGAATTTATTTGTAATTCATCATCAGCATCGTCTGGAGAAGATGATGATCCATCAGAATTTTATTCGAAAGTAAATAGAATAATTGATAAAGATTTATCATGGAGAAAGTAAAATTTATTAAAAATATTTGTATCAAAATTATATTTATCTTTTTCTTAGACCTGAAGAAGACTATTCATCTGATGAATCCAGTCAATTATCTTCATCTTCGTCTCCATCTTCATCTTCTTCAGAGAATGATGAACGAATAATACGGAAGAAAAAAGATATGAAAATATCTATAAATTTTCTTGAATCACTCTCAAACTATGTACCACTTGAAGATAAACATTCTGATGCTAAACAGTATATTTTCTTATTTGAAATTTCTATGATTAATATTCTTTTTAATAGATATTTTATTCGAACAGGATTTAAGAATAAAAATAAACGACAAGAATTAGCTGAAAAACTTTTTTCAATCTATGATCAAGATGTTTTTTCTTCTAAAGTAAATTTAATTTATTTATAAAATTATATTTTATAGTTTATTTAGCTTTCGGATAAAGTAACAATTGTTTGGAGTGGTCGATTGACAGCAACAGCTGGTCATTGTACAACTCGACGTTCAAGTCAGACAGCTACAGTTACGCTTTCACATAAAGTTTGTGATTCACCTGGTTCGTACGAAATATATTTTATTGTTATGATTAGTTCTTATATGTCAGATGCTTCTTTTATGATATATTATGTTACTGATCATAACAAATATAATAATGTTGATATGCAAAAATGTCTATCTCTATAAATTAAGACAAGCAAATAGATAATAGAATGACTCTAATAACAGAGATTCCATGAGTGAAGTCTCTTGAAGTCCGCTGTTTCTCCCTAAATGTAGTATCTTTATTACTTCGATTACTTTATTCTTCAGTTGAAAAAAATTAAATTATAATAACTTATTTTAGAACGTTGTCGTGATACACTTCTACATGAACTGTGTCATGCAGCTGTATCATTAATAGATAATGTTACAGATCAAGGTCATGGACCATTATGGCGTAAATGGACGCATAAAGCTGAACGATGTTATCCTTATTTACCAGCAATATCGGTAAAACATACGTATGATATCGCTTATAAATTCATTTATCGATGTATTCAATGTCATTATGAGTAAGTTTATTAATAAAATTTTTCTTTGTTTTTGATCAATACTTAATTATCTATTGAAGAGTTCAACGTCATTCGAAATCACTAAATATTGAAATTGATTGTTGTGGAAAATGTATGGGAAAATTTGAATTATTATTAAATAATAATAAAACAAATGAAGTTCAAACACCAAAGAAAACATTAACTCGTTATAATTTATTTATTAAAGAACATTTTCAAACAACGAAACAAGCTCAACCACATTTATCAACACCACAATTAATGAAACATTTAAGTCAAGAATATAGAAAAACAATGGAACAACAACAACAATCAAATCCTATTGATTTACCTGATCTAGAACAATTAAAAATTTGATATTCTTTTTTATTCTCTCGTGTATATTAGAGAATTATATAATACTTTTTCTTTTTTGTTGTTAATTCAATGAAATATATTAATTTGGAATGAGAATCTTATTTCCTTCTACATTTTTTAACATCAAATACTACCATATATATACATATTTCGATAGATGTCATGCATAAAATAAAATGGAATAAGGAGTTTCATCGTCTCGACAACGAGTGAAAAAATGTCTTATGTTTTCTTTTGATTTTACCTTGCACATTTTTGATTGTTTTTGTTTTAAAATATGTCAGTATCAAAAGGTAGACAGAGTCCACCACCTGAACAATTATGGAAATCTTGGGATCGTAAAGCACGTAAACAAGGTTGTCATGCAACAATCTATTCATCGGATGGTTCACAATATAAAGGAGATTGGCAAAATGATAAAAGACATGGTAATAATACTTTTATTTCTTATTGAATATGAATCTAAGGTTTGATTTCGCATAGAATAGGTAAAGGTGTTTATTTATGGAAATCAACAGGAGATTTTTATGAAGGTGATTTTGCTAATGGTACACGAACTGGTTTTGGTACATTGACTGTTAAAAGTTCAGATGGAAAATTGCAACGACAATATGCAGGTGGTTGGAAAAATGATAAGAAACATGTAAGTATATTCATATTGAATAGATCATATTATAGACTATTCTATTTTAGGGATATGGAAATTTATTTTTTTCGGATAATGAACATTATGAAGGTGAATTCTATGCCGATAAACGAAATGGTTGGGGACGAATGTTTTATGCAGATGGATCGACTTATGAAGGACAATGGCTTGATGATAAACGACATGGAACAGGAATGTTACGATTAGGTAATATGAATAGATTTATGTTATAATACTCCTTTTTGTATTTATTTATAGCAAATGATAATCGTTATGAAGGTGAATGGCATGCTGACAAGAAACATGGTCAAGGAAAATTTTATTATGTTACACGAGGACAACTTATGGAAGGTTTATGGGTAGATGATATTTGTAAAGCTGGTGAAATGAAAGATTTTGGACGAGATCAAGCTATTATACCAACCCCATATCCTATTCCAGATGTGAGTTTTAATTTCTTCTATTTATTTTAAAAGTTTGAAAAACTTTATTTTTAGTTGTCACTAGCTAATCCTGATCAAGTACTAACAGACGCTAAAACTACATTTACAGAGACAGATGGATAATATATTTTATTATATTTTGTATTTTACAAGACTTTTATCTATTAAAAAGAGTCATTTATTCTTTCAGAGGCAGTAGTACATGCTTGATATCGTATATTATACACACATCTCTTAATATCGATATTTCTTTTTATTTGATATAATTTCATTGTAATACTTTTCGATATGTGAATTGTATATGAATATGAACGAAATTATCCGAAAAAAATATAGTTATCCGATTTGATCGATTCTAAAACTTTGTAATACTATGAAAAGGATGTTTGTTTGTCAATTGATAGTATGATGAATTATTTCATCAAAAATCTTAGTTATATTATCCAGATATGCTTACCTATAAACAATTTTCTTCTTAGGAAAATTTTTTTATAATAACAAATAGACATTTTATGATTATGAAGATAGAATCAAATTTCGTCTTATAGAAAAATACAGGGCTGTTTCATAAGTTATTATTGTATTGATTGATGACTCTTTCCAGTAATATAACTGATAATCATCTTGATCATTTATTTTATTCTAATAATATGTTTTCTATGTATATTTTTTGAGAATTTTCTTTTTCTTTCCATTCACATTAAATTTAATTCATAATACAATGCAAACGAATAAGTAAAACGATTCCAATATATTCATAGAATTTGTTTTTCATTTTCTCATTTTGATATTAATGAATAATAATGATAATAATATCAACAGTTTCGATTTATTCATTATCATAGTCTATATTTGGTAATAACGTTGTTATTAGAAAACAAGTTATTTCTTTTATAAGTAACAACGCATAATTGATATATTCATGACAGTTACTGTCCTCCCTCTATTTTGTTTGTGTTGGCAACTGTATTAATTATATATAATACCCATTCTTTTCTTATAATTCATCGTCATTTCTATTATTCTACACATAAATACTCTACTAATATTATTATAATAAAAATGCGTCCAGCTTATGCCGGTCCAGCTTCTTCTCGTTCACAATGGAAAGCTACACAAGATCCTGGTAAAACATCACCAACTTCAAATGTTGCTGGTTATCGATCTGCTGGTCTCGATGTTAATCCAGCATCATTGACAGCATCAAATCTTCCACAAGAACAACAATCTGAAGCAGAAGAAAAAAAACAATAATGTTCGATTTATTTATTTTTTCATATGAAGTTTTTCTTATTTTCTTTCATTTAATTATTCTAGCAAACATATGTATAACAACATTTACTTTAGCAAACATATTTGTTTCATAATAAAATTTGTAATATTTAATCTTTTTATTATAAATTTGTTTTACAACTAGTGAAAATAATAGGATGTGTCTCTATTGGATTACATAAGTGTGACAAATAAAATATTTTCTATGATAAAGATATATTGGCTAAGTTCATCTTTAGATACTTTTTCATATATCATTGCCTCTTTATCCGCTTTACACTTGATGCACTGTGTGATTTTCTATAACATTTCGTTGTTTTCTTATCATCTTAAGCATTTTTATCAGTAACATATAAAAGAAACAAAAGCTATAAAAAGATAATGCCATTCCTGATATAACATATCTATATTCATAAATAGTTATTTTATTGATAATTATACAATCAACACTTTTTGAGTTTCACTAAATCGTAATGATAAGATATCTGTGACATATTTATATAGAAATTTTAAGAAAAGCGAACACATCTATTTAACAATTACATTTATCAAGTTAAATTTAATACTTTTGGATTTAGAAGATATTTGAAAAACTCAGATAGAGATCTATCGAAACAAGAAAATATCTTTAAATCATCTGAATAGTTTTATTTTAGATACGAAACTTAAAAAGGAGTTTTGCAGTACATGGTTTAGTCTTTGTACACGCCTCCAGATCCTTTTAAGGTTTCGTAGATTTTTTTTAATGGGGTTTTAGACCTTTGAACACATTTGGAATATTTTAGAAACCAACGAAATCTTTTTGGAGTGTTTCTTTTTTTACGGTGTAGACTCATTTTGTTTCATAGAGAAAAATAACCCTATTTTTATTTTTCTTATCAATTACACCAAAAACTTGCAATTCATTCATAAATATAATATCATTGTTCGATTCAGCTATAGTTCAATGATCGCATTAGTTGTTTTAATGCATTTTAAAAATAAAGCCTGTTACGCTTCTTGATTCAGTTATAGCTCATATGACGTTTGAACCTTATTTGATAACGCAAAAAATATTGATTATTTTAGAATAGTGATACTTGGATAAAGAGAAAACATGAGAATATTATAAAAAAATGATTATTTTTAGCAGCAAAGTTCCAAAACAATCATATTAAGCGATTGAATAGAATTTTTATTTGTTATATATTTATTACCAACGAATTGAAACAGTTATATCATCTGATGAAATGCCTATTACTCGAGAATCAAATCGTCCCATATTTGATGGAGATGAAGAAGACGAAGATGAACATGAATGATGATTTGTCATCATATTAGAAACATGCCATGATGTCTAAAATATAAATAATATTTCAATTAATCATTTAAAAAACAAAGGTTCAAGAACAAACTTGTGAAGGAGACTCAATTCTTGGCATGGTTCGAAATTTTTTTTCATTGTGTAAATATATATTTTTTGTTATTCCAAAATTATTCGTTGGCATATTGACATCAATTAAATTACTATTTAAAGAATCACTAAAGAATTCATTGCCATAATGATTATTACTATTTAATGTTGATTTAACAGGTGATAAAGCCACTAAATCATAATTACTATTTAATATTGATGACATATTTGTTATATGTGGTAAATAAATCGGATAGAAAAATGAAGGTAAATTTGGAATATATGGCCATGGAAGATTCATTAAACATTGACTTATACGACGATTTAATGTTCGAAGTTGAGATACTAAAAATATGATATCATAAAATTCTATTGGAAGATGTTCATTGATAGTTGAACGACGAGCTAAAATAAAATTAATAGAATTTTATATATATATATTCAATAGATCAATTATTTTTACCTTGTGTATATTCAGAAAATGCTTGAACACATTCATATTGACATTTTGGCCATGAATTATTTTCTTCATTTATTACATTTAAATCTAATTAAATGAAAAAATCATTTTTTTTTATTAAAAAAATAGTTTTTTGTTACTTGTTCGAGTAATAATCATTAATAAAAGAAGAGATATTTCTTTTTCATCTAAATGAAGATCTTTTATTTTTGATTCAAATAAACGAAATTCATTTTCAGCTTCTGTTAACTGTGGAACATGTGCATTTAGTTCTGCTGATAATGTTGATTCAGCTTGCCAATAGTTCCATATTGGTTGAATACTATTATTATTATTATACGGATATTTTATCAACGTCATTTTTGATAATAATGTTATCATGATTACAGAATTGATACTGGATGATATTATTTCATATCTTTCATACATATTATCAAAACCTATAACAAAAAGATTTGTAACTAAAAAATTAATCTCAAACTAATTGAAAAATATTTGTCTATTCACTCTCACCGTATTCATCGTGAGAGGGAATAGACTCTTTAAAAAAAATAGATTATATCACCAGCAGTACAAAATGAAGAGAATCATAGGAATAAAAAAGAAAATAGTAATTTAATTATGTTACCAGGAATTGTTTTTTGACAGAAATTTATTACTGCCTCAGCATATATTGTCATTTGTGATGCCATGGTCCACCAGATTGTTTCACGAGGAATACATCGAGGTAAATCCTGTATACAAAATAAAAATAGACAAAGCAAACATAAAACGACGAAATATTCGAGTTATCTTTGCTTAATAATAATAAATATTCTGCAAACTACCTTTAAATGCATAATATATGCATTATGCACTTTTTTAATAAATTCTTTTGTAGTTAAAGAAAGTTCAATATCAATTTCATTATTTGTAGTAATTGCTAAAATCAAACGATGATTGATGTTTTTTGTTAAAAACTTTAAAATATTACTTCGTCCACTTTTAGTTTTTATCTTTCGTCGTTTAGCCATCGATGCAATACGAGCTGAATCTCTTATTGTTACCATTGATGTTGTACCATTTTGTATTTGTCGAATACTATTTTAGTTTAATAATTAAAATAAATTATTATTTAATCGAAACTACCTTTCTTTGAACAAATTTGATTGTCGACCAATACGTGATGCTAAGATAAATATTGAAATATATTTTTACTGTAAATAAACGCAGAAATCTGACTAACCTTTCATCGACATTCCAAAATGAATACATTTTTTAAATCTACATGCTCGACAACTAAGTTTTGATGGTGCTAATATTTCACAATTATTATTTTCTACACAAAGATATCGCTCAGCAGCATTTTCTTTTATTGAACGACGATAAAAACCCTTTAGAAATTGTGTCATAAAATTTATTTTCTCTTTCTTCAATATTCATTTTACTCTTACTTTGCAAGCCTCACAAGTGACGGCACCAAAATGAATACCTGATGCTGATGCACTACAAACAAGACATGGCA